GGGGGGGGGTGTTAGGGTGTGAATCTAATCGGTTTTGATTTCCACCCTTCCCTCGTAAAGCTTATCTTTACGACAAGTAACAGTGTGTTTATTTTCGCTGATGTCGACACAGCGAACTGTCTGGTGGGTTCTACGTCTCAACTGTTTGATTCATGCACGCTGTATGGACCATTATACGGGGTGCCCGCTACGGCTGGATCGGGCCGATTGCCCGACTCGGTCGCCTGAAACTGAAAACAAACACATTTGTTTTTGAGGCGACCAAGGCTACGTTTACGCAGAGCAAGGCCAATAGCTGGCAGTTGCCTTCAGCAGCCGTCTGTAATCTGTCGTCACGCCCTTATCTTCTTTCCCGCCATGAAAAACTGGTGATACACGTTTAGGCTGGCCGCCAGCACACGTCATTTGCCGCCAGCCAGTAATTTGCTTTGCCATGTTCACACAAAACAAATGGCTGGATGGCCCAAGGGAAGCAATTTCCCACTTTACCAACAGAATGAATGCCCTTTTATTCGCAGTCAATTCCCGGCAAAATGGACGAAGAAAAGACCACCATAGCTTTCCAAAGGAGATCGGTGGTATGCGACAAAGAGGACAAAAACTATCACAACCGAGAAATCATAACTGCCACTTGGGAAGGCATTGGGTAAGCAGACTTTGAAAGGCCTTTGGTCTCATCCGTATGAAATCAACACAATTCTGGGTATCGTCCATTAATTGAGGAATCAAATGATCGTATTCCCCATGCACGCTACGATTGCGGTGAATTGGGTGAACACCGTATTATTTTCGAGAATTCCGTTTCAATAATAGGTTTTGTAAAATCCACCATAGCAATATAATTCGTTTCTTCTTCCTGGAAAGCGCAATGTTTTTCCTTCTCCAAGTGTGGCATCAGTTTGAGGACAGTAACTGCCTGCTCCACCGTAGATACTGCATGGCAGGAAGTGCCGATGTCGTGAACTTAGCCTTAACCTGTCCACCACTGCCCTACCTCTTGGCTTGCCCCGCCCTCCTCCTCGTCTTCTTTTTTATGTTCTTCATTCAGTTAATTAGACTAAGATCTGGTAGTTCTCTCTGCCTTCCTTTTTTTTTCTTCCCCCCCCCCCCCCCCCCCCTCCCCCTTTTGTGCTTTTTTGGGGTTGTTTTTTTTGGGTTGGATTTTTTAGGGGGTTCTTGTCTTTGTCTTTGTTTTTGTTTCTTTCTTTTCGCCAAGGTCAGATTTTTGTTCCATGGATGGGGCAAAAGTTACTATTGGTACAATACGACCGATTCGACTCGTGACCTTGAAAAATGAGCGCGTTTTATTTTGAGGGTCGCTGTCGAATTAAGTCGAATTCGGTCGAATTGTGTCAGAATGGCAGTTTTTGCCCCATTCGTCAAGAAATGTATAGCTGGCTTCGACTCAATCAAATGAATTCGATTGGCCGTGCGGACTCGGTATCAGAGGTCATCAAGCGTCTGCTATATATATGTCATGCTTTCTGAGCTTTCCAGGGCGACGTTTGATCGGCTAATGTTTTCCTCGAGACATTTCCCCCTTTTTCTTTTCTGTTTCTCAACTGCTGAAGAGCCAGCTCTCCTGGGAACCTCGTGTCTACGATTCTCAATAAAGGCGTTCCATCTGCACAATGTTTGTGCATGTTTTACACCATTGTAAACCCGGAAGATCCGCCATTCGCCGACAAAACATCGTGAAATGACACACACACGAGTCCCGGGCGGGATTCTGTTCGCCGATATTCATCGCTTGGTGATACATTACGTCGGCAAGTAAAAATTCAATTACTCTTCGGCAGAACGAAGCTTATTCAAATATTATATTATGTGGTCACGCGATGCCTCGTATCTGTCTCTATATCGTGACATTGGACTATGAGGAAATCGGTGGGGAAAATGAAGAGCTTTTCCCCCCTATCTGCTTCTATTAAATCTAACTCGAATTTTGTCCCTGATCTTTTAATTTTTCATATATATTTTTCTTTTTTTTGGGGGGGG